TGGATATGTTCGATGACAAATTAATCCACATAATAAATACGGTAGGCGGAATAGTATGCAGGATGCATGCGCTTGTGTTTCATGTACACTGTACATGACACGGAGGATAGCTCTTCATTGAAAGTTTGACTGACAACAGGTGTTTTACGACCCCCAGGAAAGACATTTGTATGTCGATTCACACTCGTCTTCAATGCAGTGATCGATGGCACCAGTACATTCCCACAATGACTTAGTGAAATTCTATTATGACTTTTTTCACCTAAAAATATACTGAATCCTGCTCTGCAGTTCATGCATCCACTGCATGTACATTAATTACAGTAAATATAAAACAGGCCTGCTATAAAATCAATCTTCTTTCTTAAATACTACCCAATGTGTAGACTGGTCTGTTTATATTTAATGTACAATGTACATACAGTACGTCATGTAGGCCTATTATATTTATATTTGTAAGCTATAATGTATCAATTAATTACCTTGAAGTTCATGTACATGTACATGTATGCCAGAGAGAGATATCACTGTACTTGTTAACAGAGCAGGAATGGCTAAGATTATGGTATGGTTAAATATGTTCCCAGTAAAATAAAATACAAATTATTATGGACTTGTTTTGAACCATCTGGGCCCTGTCTTTAATACAAAGAGTTTTGATTGATCCAAATCAATCCCAAGTCCTCTATTAAAATCAATTGCAAGTTTGCAGTAATAGTTTGCAGTCTCCTATCTCTATAAATGTACATGTACAGTACATATGTACATACAGTAGTTGCGATTGATGTTAATCACAAATATGTTGCGATTGCAATCAACTCTTTGTAAGACAGGGCCTAGGACAATCTTCTGCCTCTGCTTTTCCACAAGTTTCCACCAAAATTCCAGCCAATCTGATTATAGTCATACACAAACTGTGCAAATACAATTCTCATAGAAAATGGACAAAGGCAACTTTTGGATTGAAAATCTGACCATTCACAATCACACAAGGTTGATTTTCTGATCAATGAGACCACCCAAAACCACAATTTGGTCAAAAACTTTGTTCAAGTGAAATGAAAAGTTCAGGTTTACACCAAGTCCCTGTATCGTGTTTGCACTTTGCAAATTTGAAGGTCTATGCACAAAATATGTGTAAATACAGAGCTCTACGATTCCATCAATACAATTGTACCTCTCCAGAGAGTTGGGGTAAAGAGTGGGTAATAATATGAACAAATCTGTTTTTTGTTCCTACATGTACATGTACATAATGCAGGTACTGTACCTGTAAGCCTACAGATTTTGATCTGTATTTTTTATTTGATTTACAATGTACATGAAGGAACTTTTTTAAAGTTTGCACCATTTTTATTTAAGTTTGTGAGGGTCTATATTTCTAATTTGTTGAATGGTACACACATCTGTATACGAGTGTACCAGAATGGAGAATACAATCACACAATGGCCATTTCTGAAATCAAGGTTTGTGCAATTTTTCATTGTACTGAGGTGCTTCTACATGTATTACTATACAGGCAATACTGAATCATAATGAAGGTAAAGGCTTGGTCACATGTCACTGTATCACTAATAACTGCACAAAAAAAAAATTGGTCCATATTTAAAAAGGAAAATGGATCAGAGAAAACCTGTGCTGAATAAAGGCCAGGCTCATAAGCATGATCTTAGCATGATCTCAGCATCAACAAATTAAAGCTCCAATAACTTTCCTACATGTACAATGTACAGTACATATTGGTATATGGTCTAATTTTGTAAATTAATTACAATTCGTCTTATTCTACTGGAAGGCTTTACCTGCAGTCATCAAGATTTTAAAAATATCATCATGTTCTGCAAAGAGCTTTAAAATCTACCACTTCAGCATCAATACGTACATGTACACATTTAATTTACTTATTACCAAAAAACAGTGCTTAGGAAAGAAAAACAAGAATAAAATAGCACTAAAAATGATGAAAACGTTGGACTGGCTATACATTGTAGGACCAATAGATATCCAAAAGTGAAAATTCAAGTATTTTAGACTTTAACAAAATTTCACATCAAGAACATGAAAACTCCTTGACAATAGAACATATGAATGATTTTAAATTAACTTTTACAAAATATTTTCATAGATGCTAACAGCTCTCCATTTTTGTTAAGTCCAACTACCTGTATCAACTTAGGATCTTTGTGAAACACCCCCAGACATACAGTACATATGATTTATTTATTTATTTATTTATTTATTTATTATTTCTAATCTTTTGTCAGGATAGCCCATTCACCAATAATGTACAGTGTATACAGTCATTACAGTGTACATTTGTAAAAGTACAATTTGTAAAATATTCTTAACACTCAGTGTGATAATTGCATTCTCAATCAACTGTGATCAACGATGATGTCTGATAAATGTAAACTAGTCCAAACTTCCTCATGAATGATCAAAACGATGTTAATTCAATATTTGCGGCTTAAAGCAAATACCTGTGTACATGTAGGACTCCCTACATATTAGTCATGTACATGACTACATGTATGTGGGTTTTTCATAATTATCTGTCAATATTTGAATAGTTTTCACAAAGGATCCATTTTCACCAGTCATTAATATCCTATGACACATGAAGTCATTCATGTACAGGCAGATCTACATGTACATACGTTATTGCAAATCATTGATTGTAGCTCCTGGGGTATCATGCCACTGGGAGGTTGCGGGGCCCCTGGGACTTTATGGCCCCCTGTGAAGAGGTCAAGACTTGACATACATATGTAAATAAAGTAAACATACATTCTGTACAATCTCAGATAGTTCATAGAAAGGTGACTGATAGAATATGAATAGTACCAAACATAACATCGCCGTAGAGAAGTAAACAATGCCCACCTTGAATTATTTTTCTTTCATTTCACTATCTTTTTATGTTTATTAAAGTCAATGAATTTCTGACAAATGAAATTTCCCACAGCAAAGATTTTATTTTTCATTTCCATATGGTCTACGTGTACATGTACATTGTACGTGTAAGTAAACATTTGTGCTTTGTACGAGAGAATACATTGGATCACATTAATGCTTAAAGTTTTTGATTTGGCTCTCATTCTCGCTCTCTCTCTTTCTCTCTCTTTCTTTCTCTCTTTTTTTCTCTCTCTCTCTCTCTCTCTTTCTCCCTTTCTCTCTCTCTTTCTCAGACATGTCTAGATTTAAAATTAAGTGTGTAAGTGGTTTAAAAGTAAAAGCAAATATACCGGTAATCAATTCATTCATTCAGATCTGAAAATCTATACCTGGGAAGAACCTGCAACTCCACGAGGTGCGATAGCTCAGTCGGTAGAGCAGTGGTCTCGTGATCCGGTGACCCGGGTTCGAAACCAAGTCGATGCGCTAGTGCCCTTTGGTAAGGCATTCATTCTCATTACCAGGCCCCTCGGAGAGGACCTAAAGCCGTCGGCCATCTGGTTGCTTACTTACAAGCATTTATGCTTTTTTTAGCAGTCAGATAAAATAACCACAACCACCACTATAAAAAATACATATTTTAGATTTAAACCTTAAAAATGTAGTTGATTTACTGTATTACTATGGACATATTAAGATCCCTACTTGACCTACATGTACATTTAGTCACCTCTCCTAAGTGCCATAATTTTCATCACTGCTAACACTAGGGACTTTTCGATTTTCATGTTCACCAGTGGACTGCGACGTATGAGATCATTTCTGAAGCAGTGCGCATCGACGAACTCATCGTTCGTAGCAGAATTCTTGAACGTGTTCACCTTGTTTTGCCGTCGTTCGCAATCTGTGACGGTACTGTTCATATTTTGTAGATATGAAACAGCACTGAAGTCATAAAATGGACACGATTGACCTACATGTACATGTAATTCTGCAAGCGGAGAGTGCTAAAAGCGTTAGCTCTCTAAAATGAACACATTCTCTTGTCTGTTATTTCCCTTTAATCAAAATTGTTGCACAATAATCCATAAAATGAACACATTTTATTTATGCATCGCGAATAAAGTTAGGTGTTGGATCTTTCGTGCGAGCACAAACATATGCATGACGCACTGAGCGAGCACCGTCGTCAAGTGAAATAAAAAAAGGTAAAGAACAGTCAACGTGCCTCGTCAACACTGCATAAAAAATGACCACAAACGTAGCAGTTCACTAGTGAACGTGCAATTCAAAAAGTCCCTACTGATACCTCTTGGAGTCTCACAGATTACAGCTTTCCAATACCATTCTCCACCAAATGGCTATCCGCAGCCATCCCCAACCATTTTTATTTCTGCGCTAATATACAGTACTTGTCATTTTGCTACAGTGTACGGGCATGTTTCATTCCATCACTGACAAGTTATGAGTTAATTCTATGGAGTGGGAATGAAAAAACCAATGCATGAGACGGAATGAAGCATGCCCGGTAGCAGTGTGAACACCTGTCCCGTCTTCATTGATGCAATCCGTCCATTCTTTCCGTGGTCAGTCCCCCTTTTCCCTTCCTTCCCCACTTTGTTCTGCTGATCATCTTATCACCATGATGCTAAATTTTAGTGTGCTTATATCGGATCACTCGCACAGCATGAATATGCACGTGTGTGCGCAGAACTGATTAACGTACTAAAATTTAGCATTCTGCATTGCACATCTCAGTGGTGCACTACGCACTCAATATTACAGGTAACAATAATGCAATTAAAATTTCTATGTTATTGTTAACTCGTTATTGATATTACGTTTTATCAAACAGGGATCTGGAACCAACAGGCCACCAACACGGATATCACTGCTGGGCTGTTCCTGTGGCCCTTGGGGCCAATTGGTATAATACGACTACAGACGACGCGACCGCAGTATTCACGTGCGTGCAACATATGCAAAACTGAAGCTTGAGAACTTCAGTCAGTTTCGCGCCCTTTCTTGAACGCTAGCACGCGCTGACCCAGTTCATCTCTTGAACATGCAAAACTCTTTACCATTTTACGAGAATGTTACTTACCGAAACTTTATGTCCTTTTGGTAAAATGGCAGTGACTGAAAAGTTTGTTGATTGTTGTAATAATCTTTTATCAAATACAGAGTGCCAATCCTCTGAAGTTCTCTTCACAGTTGAGTTTGAGGGACTACCAGACAGATCAGAGTCATACGATATGCTCTGACTCAGCTGTCTCTCCACGACCGTCTCACGTTCACCGAAGCCGTACTCCTCCCAATCCTCATCCTCGATCTCTTCTACAATCACATCGTCTTCGTAAGTTGCAAAGTCTGTGGCAAACTGTCCCCTTGGGGCATAATTCCCAGCTGAATCCCTAGCATCATATGCAGTTCTGCCTCTGCTGTGGGATTGGACACCGCCATACATGCGCGTATTCCTAGGTTGCATCGACGAGCTGCCTCCACCGAGGTACTGAGGTGTACCCAGGCCGACGCGTCTCCGTCGCGAAGCCGCCGCCGAGCCGTGCCACTGAGGGTTGTAGTTCGGACGAGATGCCATCTCGACGTCTCGATTACTCCACTATATTTTAACGTTGCTAGTTTCACTATAAAAATTCCATGTCTTACCACTGTAATAACTATCACTCAAGGAAAGTATTCATGGTGTTGAATCATTCTGTAATCTTCCAAATGCCAATAAGAAGTGATTTAGCATCCATGTTTATATTTAAGTTAGCACCGAAATGGGAGCCGCCGCATCCTCGATCCTCGTTGCTATAACACTAAATTCTGCATCGGCGTCTCTCGTCGTTTGGTGGTGATAGTTTCTGATACGTTTTTTGGTATCCTTTCCAAGGTCTTTTCTCCTGAAAACTGAACCCTTGTCTATTGCAGAGAAGACCGTAGCAACCTAGATGTAGACCCTATGTCTGAAAATCCACGATTTTTTTTTTTTAGAAATCCTTTTCTTTTATCAGCTGAGCGTAAACATGATTTACTACAAGTTAGTTTGTGACCATTCAATAATGTTCAATCGGGGTCACATCGAACCCAAGCCAAGCTTTTCAGTTCAGTGACAGGTGAATCGCTTCAATGCATTATGCATACACGCCTTAAAGGTAATACAAAGTTTTGGGAAATTTTGAAATTTGGTTGGATAGTGAATCTTTACAATTTTGGTATATTTGGATGCCCCTGTGGATGTATTATAAGCACTAAAAAAATTAGCCCCTAAAACACTTCTGTTTTCGAGAAAAATTGAATATAAAAATTTACCGGTGCTCCCGGTAAATTATGATAAATTTCAAATAGCGCCTATGGCCGTATAATGTTAGCTGCGACCATGAAAATATCAGAATATGTAGTTGGGATATATAATTCCAAACGGGAATAGCTAATCGGTCGATTTTAGTCAAGAAACATTGTTTCCTAGCTAAATTAATATCTTGACCTTGAGAGGGAGCTATACAACATAAAGAGTTTATTATTTATAATTTCATAACTTTAGACTAGATTTCGACTGCGACAACGATCAATGTATATTGTACGAACGCATATGCTTCCAATATGTTAATTTGAACCAAATTCATGACCCCATACCAAAACTTTGTAATACCTTTAACATGCAATGCATGCAGTATTATGCATCAAAGATTTTGTGTTGCCGCCACAAGATGACGCCACACTCATTTACACATAAAATACCGAGCGAGCGACAAAAACGTGTATTCCAAAATGGAAAACTTTTCTTGCCCGCGCCTGTCGCCTAATTTCCTTTTAGCAGTGGCGGATCCAGGGGGGGGGGGGGGGTGGCTTCAACATAACTGGAAGCAGAAGGGCGTGTAATGATATTGATATTTCTAAACGATTTCTGTTTAAAGAGTTTCAGGTTTTAATTGCCGACTAGTAGGCCAATTATATTTAAAGTCGGTGTTAACTTCCATTTGATATCAAATATTTCCCTTTTTGTTCTTTAGTACATAACCTTTATAATATCTCATAAAGTTTTGCGTCGGATTTTATTACTTGTAAATGTTTGTCCAGAAAATGCAATTTGACTTTTAGTTTCGTCCTTAAAACATTCATTATCGTTTACCGAGCCTATATTTTAGTTTTAATTACAAATTAAGATTATGATAACTAGAAATTGTTAATTAAAAACAAATCCGAGCGCCTTTTCACAGCTCAAAATGAGGCTGACCGTCTGCAGCGAAGGTTAACAATAATTGTTATGCTTCCATGAGCTTGTGTTAGCATATTTTTTTTCTTTTTTCTCTTATCCTCAAGCGAGGTTTTTATTTCCGATGATAGATATGAGTGAAACATAACATAGGCTAAAGATTAAAGTACATTCAACAATTCTTCCAGCTTAGTATTATTTTCTTTGCTAACACATTCATATCTTAAACATAATCTTAGCAACGACTTGAATTCAAAAAACAAAGTATGTGGGTAGTAAACAGAACCACTAACAATCTTCTTAACGTAACATTTATGAATTGCATATTGCGCATAATTTAAAATAATATTCAGAAGTAAATATTTCTTGTTTCCAATATCCTTACCTACTACTATTATCTTCTGGTCTATTTGTATTTCTATTTGGAATAGATTAAATATCAAATTACATATTATTTTCCAAAACAAAGTCACATCCTTGCAATATAATATAAAATGAAAAGTTGAGTCAACCTGTCCACAAGAGTTGCATAAATTATTATTAACAATTTGCCATTTATATAAGTTTTCTTTTGAGGCAATAAACCTATAAATCATCTTGAAATTAAATTGTTTAACTTTATTATTACGAATTTGCTTTAATTTAAATAAAAATACATCCTTCCAAACAAAGTCATTATCCAAATCTAAAAAGAAATTCCTAAAGTAAATGATATTTGGTTCTTTTGACTTTTTACGTAATAACAAACGATAGTAATCTTTTACTTTCATAACAAAAACATTCACTTTATCCCCTGTTTCTATTTCTATCATATTCGAAATATCACATTCTTGTTCAAATTCATAGCTTAATCTATCCAACCAACACTGTGGAAATGCTTTCATTAATTTTGTATATTTAAAATCAAATAAGAGCTGTTGTGCTTTCACTTTTGTATTTAGTGTTGTAGAGTCATTCCAAATACCATTTGTAATCAAATTATGAATTTTCAATAAACCGGCCTCTTGCCATTCTCGATAAAACACTATTTTTTTCTTAATTTTCCAAATAATTTCATTTGGAATATTTCTTACTTTAAACATATTATTGAATTTTAGTTCTGACCAAGTACAAAAAAGATCTACATAGAATTCTTGCAAATTATGTTTAGAGCATAATAAATTCATATCCTTTATGTTACAATTGAAATGTAAACATAGTGGCAAACCCCCTATTTTGTCGGACCAGTATCTAAACATATTTTTCCAATAAGAGCCATTATCATATCCATGCCAAACGAAGTGAAGATATTTTGCTAGCAATATCAATCATATTCAATCCACCATTTTCAATATCTCTTATAATTACATTACGTTTAATTTTATCTTTTTTGGAGTTCCATAAGAAAAAAAAATAATAGTCTGTTCAATATCTGTGAAATATGTTTTGGTACTGGTACAACAGTTGCGGTATATACAATTTGTGACGCCGCTAACATTTTCAAAACAACTATTCTGCCATAAAAAATAAGATCTCTCATTTTCCACATATTTAATACATTTCGAATTTTATCTATTTTTACATTCCAGTTTAAATCTTGTAACAATTTCTTATTTTTCGCCTACATATACTCCTAGATATTTTACATGTTGATCAGTATATATAATGGCATTATCATGAACAAAATTATCTATAGTATTCAGTTTCATAACATCTGTCTTATTCCAATTTATTTTCGGACCTGCATAGTCTCCAAAATCGTCAATTTCATCCATAGTATATTGTATATCATAAACAGATTCCACAAATAATGTTGTGTCATCTGCATATTGGGAAATTTTTTAACTATCAATACCTAAATCAACACTGAATATATCAATCCCTTTAATGTTTTTATTTTGTCTTATTTTGCATGCTAATATTTCCACTATTATGTTAAAAAGTAATGCCGATAATGGGCAACCCTGGCGAACTCCTCTTCCAATAATTAACTTTTCTGAAATCCATCCATTATTCATTACACGACCGATGGCGTCAGTATAAAAGGTCTTTATCCAGGATATAAAAGATTCTTTAAAATTGAATTTACGTAGTACATGAAATAGGAAAAAATGAGATACATTGTCGAATGCTTTTTTAAAATCCAAAAAGAATATAATTCCCGAACTATTGGATGTCTTTAAATAGTCGATTACATCTTGTACAAATCGTATGTTTTCTGCTGCGGATCTTTTCTTTATAAAACCTCTTTGATCAGTTGAAATGATACTTGATAAAACACGTTGAAGTCTTTTAGACAGTACTCTTGCCGCAATTTTGTAATCATTATTTAATAACGAAATTGGTCTCCAATTGTCTAAATAACCCCTGCCTTTGGGAAGAAGATAATTTTTGTTTGTGATACCCCTCATTTAAGCTTGCAATAACCAAATCTTTAATTTCTAACCAAAAAACCTTGTAGAACTCAGCACTAAGACCATCACTTCCAGGGGCTTTGTTATTACCCATACATTGCAAAGCGTCTTTACATTCCTTTTCACTTAGCAACCCTTCACACTTCGATGCCTCTTCATCGGTCAGAGTACTAGTAATTAAATCTTTAAAATAGTTATCAACATGAACATTCGTGCATGCCTTAACATACACTTTTTCAAAATATTTATGAATTTCCTGTAAAAAATTATCATCATCCTTAATAGTTTTACCATTCACATATAAACTTTCTATTTCTTTTTTCTGCCCATTGCGCTTTTCCAACTGTAAAAAATATTTGCTTTCCTTCTCACCCTTTTCAATCCATTTTGACCGCGATCTTACAAACGCCCCTTTACATTTATGTGTATAATATTTATCTATTTTCTTCTGTGATTCCTTCATCTTACTAATAACATCTTCATTTGGATCCCTATCTAACTGTTCACTCAAGGTATCATATTCCTTTTTAAGTTTATTAAAAGCGTTTTTAGAACATCATATTTTTGTTTACAGTATGACATCGTAAATTCTTTTATCTTAACTTCACATATTTCCCATTTATTCTGTGGTGACAATTGTATGTATTCCAATTTAACTTGTTTAATCAAATTACGTACACCAGTCTGATACTTTGCATCAACTAAGATATTATTATTTATCTTCCATAACCCTTTGCCTCTCTTTACAATTTTAAATATTTCAAAGAAATAGCATTATGGTCACACTTTAAAGCCGGACGGATGTCCGAAGATTGAACTAAATGGCATACCTTCTTTGATATTAACCAATAATCTAACCTAGAAAATAAAGAGAGAGACACCTGCCTCCACGTCAATTGTTTCTTGTCTGGATATAAATGTCTCCAAATATCTACCAAATTGTGATCTTTTTAAAACTTCTTAAAATAAAACTTCGGAACATTAGCAGAAGAGATATCACGTGTATCCATTTCCTGACTTTGAACACATTTACAGTCTCCTTCTGCTATCAAAATATCATTATCTTCTTTAACCGTATTCAACCAATTTAAAAGCATTTTATAAAAAGGCTCTTTTTCCATTTTTTCGTAGGAGCATAAACATTCAAAACAAAGTAACATATTCTATTGATGCTCAAACGAGCAGCTACAATTATTCCGTCACTTTTATTAAAAGCACGTATTAAATCAATTTAAAATTGCAACACCCTTTTTGGGAGCAAAAAAACAAAAACAATTGTGCTCACTACCCCCCCCCCCCCAGGGGCGTACGCAGGATTTTTTCAAGGGGGGGGGTTTTAAAATATTTTGCTCCCGAAAATTTGAAAATCGCGCCGGCCGAAAAGTCGCTCAGTGGGGGGGGGGGGGGGGGGGGGTAAGCGGACACTTTTTTTTTTTTTTTTTTTGAGGCCAAAAAAAATCGCAACGACTCATCAGCCGGCAGAAAAGTCGCTCAGTGGGGGGGGGGGGGGGGGGGGGGGGGGGGGGGGGGGGGGGGGGGGGGGGTAAGCGGACACTTTTTTTTTTTTTTTTGGTCTCAAAATTTCAAAATTTGACATTTTTTTACGTATGGGGGGGGGGGGGTAAGGTCACCTTATTTAGGTTAGCCGTGGGTATAATTTTTTTTTTTTTTTTTTTTTTTTTAATAAAAAAAAAATAAAAAAAAAAAAACCCAAAGGGGGGGGGGGGGGGTTTTAGGTTATTTTAGGGGGGTTTACATACATTAAAATACCAAAGGGGGGTGTTTGAACCCCCATAACACCCCCCTGCGTACGCCCCTGCCCCCCCCCATTCAATATATAACTTCAAAACATAACTGGAAGCAGAAAGAGCGTGTAATGATACTGATATTTCTAAACGATTTCTGTATAAAGAGTTTCAGGTTTTAATTGCCGACTAGTAGGCCAATCCCAATAAACAAAACACTAAAAAGTAACCTCTTTAAGGAGTGTATTTTAAGTGATTTTAAAGTATGGTGCCTTTTGAACTAGATTTAAACGTTATGGACACGTGCCTTCATTTAAACAAAAAAGGTACTCATGTTCACGTTTTCATCTAACCTAAAAACCACCAATTTATCACGCGACTGGAGTAACGTGATTCCACTTACCTCTGTAAATCAAGTGTTTATGACCAAATAACCACTTGACCAAGCAACGAGTTTTGTGTCCGTTAACCGATGGTGGTGATAAATACGTAATTATTTGGTCTTTTAAGCACCTTTATCGATAGGTTTCACAGGTTGTCCAAGGTTGATGGTAATAATCACGTTACTTACACCGGCTAATCGTCTTATTGTTCTGTCCGTGAATTTCTGGTTATATTAAATGAGTAATTCTGAGGTGTCTTACACACCTCTTTAAATGGTTTCAAAGTTACCATAAATTTCTTGTTTATGATCACGTGGCTCACGCTGATTACTAATCTAAGCTGTGAATCTGTGATATTTAGGTGTGAAAATAAGTAATTATTAGGTGTCTTAAAAAACCTTTTTAAATGGTAGTCAAAGTTGCCATAAGTTCCGCGGTGATGATCTCGTGACTCAAACGGATTAATAATCTAAGCTGGGCATACGTGACTCTTAGGTGTGAAAAATTAGTAATTATTAGGTGTCTTAAAACACCTTTTTAAATGGTTTCAAAGTTACCATAACTTTCTTGGTGATGATCACGTAGTTAAAACTGATTACTAATCTAAGCTGGGAATCCGTGATATTTAGGTGTGAAAAATTAGTAATTATTAGGTGTTTTAAAACACCTATTTAAATGGTAGTCAAAGTTGCCAGCAGTTCCGCGGTGATGATCTCGTGACTCAAACGGATTATTAATATAAGCTGGGTATTCCGTGTTTTCCAGGTGTGAAAATGAGTTATTATTGGGTGTCTTGATGGTTTCACAGTTACCATTTAAGTTCCGTGGTGATAATCCCGTGACTGTTGGCATTTTTCTATGTTCACCAGTTGATAAATGACTGTTGGCATATTTTCATTGCACCAGTGTGTGCATAATTCCAGTTGCACCAGTTGATGACTGACTGTTGGCATATTTCAAGTTGAACCAGCTGACACCAATTAATTTGCATATTGAATATGGGGTGCGTGCAGATCTATGTTTTTTAAACAATTTATCTGAATTTACAGCATATTTCTTAATTACTGATGATTTAGTTATATGCAATTCATTTCGAAAATACTACAAATACCAGTTATTAGGACATTTCGCTACTTCGTATAAATTACATTTAGTTAAACATGAATAAGGGAAACATTAACTATGAACTAAATAATTTCAATAAAATACAAGTGTATGAAAAAATTTCGAATAATTAAATTATGTAAGTCTACTTATTACCAATGCCTTTACATTGTAAATACAGACGTACCAGTATTGAAGTGTTATTGCTGTTCAACTTGTTGGAAGTTTTACCAAATGGTTCTAATGGCTCAGCTAGACCAGTTAAATTTTAACTGGCCTGGATCAACTGGATCATTTAGCCCATTTCAATTTCCAGGGTTACCAGTTGGCATTAACTGGTTCATCAACTGGACCAGTTGCAACTAGCTTTCTCTTCTGGGATGTTTGCCCCCCCCCCCCACCCCTCCACCATCTCCTCTAATCCCAAACTGCTTCTGGCGCGCCTGGACGTAATTATGGAAGATCCAAGACACGATGTTCAGAAACGGGATGAGAACGTCATTATTTTGGTTCATTTATTGTGTAACATTTGCGTAATTATTGGGTTGAACGCGGGTTACAGTAACATATTTCCTCTTCGACGTAAATTTCACGTGAATGAAGAACATGATTCATCTCAAGTCAGCCTCGTAATATTCACGTGAATTTCACGCAGATATTGTGACTAAAACTATCACTAACGCTTCACGTGTTTCTGTGACGCGATAATTTCGTTTATGAACATATAATTTCATAACCAAACAAACACGGGAGTATTAGGTTTACAAACCATGGTCTCCACGGTAGGGACAATCACGTTATTATAATGGTGATATTGCAGTGACAATTGCGTGATTTAGTGTACGTGTGTTTTAAGTTACCTAGTGCAATAAACGTATTAACACATTTACGTAAATGTCCGGTGTTTGAAGAACGTCACTCTCCTCAAGTCGATACCTTGATATTGACGTGATTTTCACGTGATTTTGTTTATTGGGATTATATTTAAAGTCGGTGTTAACTTCCATTTGATATCAAATATTTCCCTTTTTGTTCTTTAGTACATAACCTTTATAATATCTCATAAAGTTTTGCGTGGGATTTTATTACTTGTAAATGTTTGTCCAGAATATGCAATTTGACTTTTAGTTTCGTCCTTAAAACATTCATTATCGTTTACCGAGCCTTTAATTTAGTTTTAATTACAAATAAAGATTATGATAACTAGAAATTGTTAATTAATAACAAATCCGAGCGCCTTTTCACAGCTCAAAATGAGGCTGACCGTCTGCAGCGAAGGTTAACAATTTGTTTATGCTTCCATGAGCTTGTGTTAGCATAATATTCAAGAGCGATATATTATCATCCGACAAAAGTGTACCTTTCCCTTTTCAGAGGTGATAAAATTGACGTCATGGCAAACGGCTCAATCTTGTACCCATTGCTCGTCGCTTGTCTCCTCGTCAGCTCGTCCTTTCAATCTTTTCATCGACACGATGGAGATTCGGCGATGACATCCTAAACACTGGTTATGGACAAATCTTTCCATGGATGTGATTAGAACCTTGAACTGAAAAAAGCTTATTGCAGCAATAAGGGCCTAGAGAGGGTTCCCCAGAATCTTTCTGAGGATACCGAGGTGCTTGACTTGTCTTATAACGCTATCACCAAACTCTTGAACTCCTCGTTTAAAGAATACCCTCTAATCAACTCCTTGTACATTTCTTCTAATGATGTAAGAACGATAGAATCCGCCGCTTTTTACCCCCTCAAGGGCTTAATGTACCTGTCTTTATCCTTTAACTCACGTCTTGCGCTTCCAGCAGCAGGCGTCTTTATGAAGTCTTTAAAGCTTTCCATTCTCGATTTAAGGTCATCAAACTTGAAGTCGCTCCCCAATGACACTCTAGAATGGAGTCCAAATATAGATACTGTATATCTGTTCGACAACCGGCTCTCCTTCATCAATATAAGTTCATGTGGCATGGCCGACACTGTGAGCATGCTTGGTAATCGACTAAAACACCTTACGGTGAGAGATTTCACCTTTGTGTGCCACACTGATACTCTAGATCTGAGACAAAACCATATCAAATCAGTAGACCCTCAAGTGATCGCATCACTACATGTTCGCTCTTTGATGCTAGGTGGCTGCCCTTTGAGTGATGAGGTGTTGGCGAACATCGTCCTCGGAATCTCAAAATCAGACATCGAAGAGCTTACAATTGAGGCAGGTTCTATTGGTGAGTTTCCTGTAGGTTTCTTTGATCCTCTGCGCGATTCTTCTCTCTCTGTTCTGGACTTAGAATTCAACAAACTGAATAGCCTCCATCCTTTTGTCTTCTCAAACTTGACAAAACTCAGAGAATTCACTTTCGGTTATAACAGACACCCCATAGACGAAATTCAACCTAACTTTTTCGACGGCATGAATGCATTGAAGGTCCTGACATTCAACGACAACAAAGTAAGACAAATAAATCCTCACAATCAGGTTTGGACAGTAGACTTGTCGGAGTTTGACTTATCCGGTAATCTGTTTACAAACATTTCTGCATCTGTATTTCGTGGTTTAGGAAATTTAACTTTCTTAGACATGAGCTACAATGAACGCCTTTCTGTCTTTGTGCTGACGGCCTTTTCGGGACTTGAAAATGTTCAAACCATTGATTTGGAATATAGTCGATTAACTGTTTTGGAATTGAACACCCCAATGTTAAGATCACTTTTCCTAAACTCTCTTTATAAAACCGGGCTTCCTCTGCGACCAGGAAAATCGTTTCAACATTTAAAATCCCTTGATAGTTTAAACATGAAAGAATCTTACCTTGGCCAGAGATACCTATGGAATGCAACTACAAACGCGTCTCTTTTCGATGGATTATTGAATCTTAAGCATTTGGACTTGAGTTTTAACCCTTTCCTGTGTTTAAGTAGTGATTTACCACCAGGGATATTCCGGCAACTCTCTGTTTTACAAGAAATTAATCTAGACTACTGCGATATTACAAATCTACATCCTCTTGTCTTCTCGGGGTTGGAATCGCTTCAGAAGTTGAGTTTGATAGGAAACAACGTCCAGCATATTCATGATGGTGTATTGTCGGGGTTGGGTCAAATAGAAAGTATCAACTTTGAAGGAAACCGTATCGCGTACTTGGAGGAGTTAATGTTCTCAAATAACTGGAAGCTCACAAATCTCTCTTTCGCCAACAACAGATTAACGCGCCTTAATCAAAGCACTTTCAAGCCGACCGTTTCCTCCCTTTCATCACTTGATCTATCAATGAACCCAATTGATTGTAACTGTGAAATAAAGTGGCTTATTGATTGGTTAAATGAACCTATACGCCTGGAAAACTAGGACGCAACTTTCTGTTCGTCAGCATCTCTGGAGCCTCTTCGTGAGAAACCCCTACTTGATTTTGATCCAAATGAACTCTGTATAATAAAGTATGGTCTTTACTCTCTGATTCCCCTAGCCTCCATTAGCTTAATTATAATCAGCGTGTTGCTGTGTCACTTCCGGTGGCAGTTGAGGTACAAAGTCTATCTCTTGAAACTGGCCGTACTGGGATTTAAAGAGATGCGAGACGCTCGAGACCACAATGACTACGAGTTTGACGTGAATATCATTTTCTACGACGATGACGAAGAATGGATTCGCGAACAGCTTCGACCGGCTCTCGAAGAACGGCTTCCACAGTTTCAGAGGAACATCTTTGGTGACGAAGACCTTGTGTTGGGTATGCATTACTTAGATTCCGTCGATTACGTGGTGAGACATAGTTACAAGACCATCGTAGTGCTTAGCAGAGCTGCTGTACACGACCGCTGGTTCATACTCAAGTTCCGTACGGCCATGGACCACGTGAGTGACACTCTGACTGAATTCGTAGTCGTGGTTTTCCTCGAAGACATCACAGATAATGAAATGCCATTCTTAGCGAAGTTGTACATCAGTGATGGCAGACCCTATATCCACTGGACTGAGGACGTGAGAGGGCAAGATTATTTCTGGGATGAATTGACCAAAGATCTAACCATTAATCTAAAAACGAATGACTTGATCCCAAACGAGTAGCAGTCATATAGGAATATAGAGATACGTGTGATGGTTATCAGTATATGAAAGTGGTAGTAGTAGTAAAAATAGTAGTAGTAGTACTGTAGTAGTAGCATTAGTAGTAGCAGCAATATTAATGCTTTTAGTAGTAGTAGTAGCAGCCGCAACACAATTATTATTATTATTATTATTATTAGTAGTAGTAGTAGTAGTAGTAGTATTGGTGGTAGTATCACTCTAAGAAAAAAGGGTACAAAAAAGGGTGCAAAATAAGAGTTTGCACCCTTTACATAAAAATGAACCCTATTGAAGGAAAAGGGGTTCAAAAAAGGGTGCAATATAAGATTTTGCACCCTTCCCACAAAAATGAACCCTAACGAATAAAAAAGGGTGCAAAATAAAAGTTTGCATATTGCATGCATATTCATGATTACTGTCCACGTGTTCACTTAAAAATACATTTATCATATATTTTGTTAAGCAAATTATGACAATGCACATCAATTTTGTGATTTGTATTTTCCTTCGGCAATCATTAACCAATAGATTATTTTGTCTGATCATGTCACAATTACATTTACGTTTTAGCAATAGATATATTGATTATATGATTACTAACCAAGAAACATCATGCATGTTTAATATGTATTTGTGTACGAGCAAATGTCACGAGTATTCCTCGATGATGTGTGCAGGATTGCACCTTTTAAAGGGTGCAGGGTTGAACCCCTTAAGGTGCTGCTATTGTATCGGTTTGAACCCCTAAAGGAGCAGGATTGAACCATTAAGGGTACCCATGTCCCCTAAAAGGTTCAATCTGGCACCCTTTTAAAGGGTGCAGGATTTAACCCCTAAAGGTGCTGCTATTGTTGCATCGGTTTGAACCCCTAAAGGTGCAGGATTGAACCATAAAGGGTACCCATGTCCCATAAAAGGTTCAATCTGGCACCCTTTTAAAGGGTGCAGGATTGCACCTTTAAAAAGGGTGCAGGATTTAACCCCCAAAGGTGCTGCTATTGTTGCATCGGTTTGAACCCCTAAAGGTGCATAGTTGCACCATTTTTTCTTAGTGTGTAGTTGTATAATCGCGCTACTTATCATAATTGTCTTCTTAATATTCTTATTCACTATCATCAGTATCATCATCATCGTTATCATTAATATTATAATTGTCATGAATATTAGTATTATTGTTATCATCATCATCATCATCACCATTATCATTGTTGTTGTTGTTGTTGTTTTGGGATTTTTTTTTTTTCCTTCTTTTTTTACTCTCTCTTCAAGACAATAAAAAATAGTAGACGGTACCATATACCATGTATATGACCTGGAAAAGTCGATAAGACAAGGTTATTTTGTTGATTTGTGTTCTACATGGGTATTGGAGTAAATTCAGCTTGGTTGCCAGCTTGGCAACCAAGCTGGCAACCAAGCTGGCAACTTTTTTAATAGCCATATTAACATAATCATCTAATTAGCATATGTGCAAATGTAATAATGTTGCTAATCTCAATCCAAGAAGCGTGAAAACATGGATAATATGACTTTTCAAGGGTTTTTCTATGACGAGGAATTCATTCATGACACCATTTGTTTTATTCCAAGTAATGCAATTGTCTTAAATAGCATAATTAGCGTATGTACAATGTATGGACTTCATTGTCATTGTTTATCTATATAAAGCCTAAAAATGGTGCAATGCAATAATGATTGTAAATCACTTTTGAAAGACTAATCATAAATTCATGAGAAGATATTCCATGTATATAGTATAATTAGAAATTTTCGCCATCGAACATGTCGAACATGACTGTGGAATAGCTTAATGCTTTATATATACATGTATGTACATTTCTGTAAATTATGCCAGTCACAAGAACATTTGCTTGGTTTTAAAAGCATTTCTAACACTTCACACAAATTTTCACATTGTTGTATTATAGTTCACTTTTTCAGTGTAAAACGCTACGTCAAAGGAATATAATATCGTTTTACAGCAAAATTAATGTGTATCTGTGTTTCTCATAGTTAAGACGAACATGTCACAACTATGGATATACGGAGCGAGAAAGGAGGAGGACGGGGTGTCCCCGTTTAATTTGAGCATTTTAAAACGTGATAATCAGCGTTATATTGCACTTTCGAAGTAACTGACCTGGGCCCTGTTTCATACAACTTGTTATAAATAACAAATGCTAAATTTCTATGACAAATTTGCTCTCACTCATTCACATGCCACGATTTCAGAAGCTCATAACAGTTTTTCTAACTTGTTATAGTTAATTGATGAAATGTTTTATGAAACAGACACCTGATTTCCTTTTTTGTCTTTTAATATGAGCGCTTGAAGATTACTTGAGAACCTGAAAATATGAGATAGAAAGTGACGAGAACCTGAAAACTAGGAAATGTTTTATTTTCGAAACGAACTTACCGGAGACAGTTATGGAGTGAGAGGGATTTTCCTCTTACAGCCAGGAAAATTTATTTATAGGACATTTTTTTAACCCGGAAACATGAACATAAAAACGAGTATAACTGAAAGGGGTGTCCTCCTGAAAGCCCGTGGAAATTTAGCCATACAATCAACAATGTTTCCCATGCCATGGGGGGGGGGGGGGGGGGGGGGGGGGGGAATAGTGAAAATAATTTGTAGTATATCAAATGGCATTGATATCACCTCCCCCTTCTTTTTAGGCCTCTTATAGAGCCATGGCAATTTTTTCCGGTCATGCTAGCTACTGTCCGCCTGAAAATATGTATTTCTTTATTTCTTAATCTTAATCTATCTTTGGAAGAGATAAAAACACGATATCAAGAGAAAGAGAAATGGGTTGGGAGAGAAAGAGAATGAGATGGTAGATGGTGGAGATGGAAACAGATACAGAGAGAATGGAGGGGAAATATAGAAGTGATATACTATGATGAGAGAGAGAGAGAGAGAGAGATGGTGGAGAGGGAGAGGGAGAGATGGTGGAGAGGGAGAGGGAGAGATGGTGGAGAGGGAGAGAGAGAGAGAGAGAGAGAGTGAGAGAGAGATGGTGGAGAGAATGAGAGAGAGAGAGAGAGAGAGAGAGAGAGAAGAGGGAGCGAGAATGAGTGTGTGTCCCAACATGCTGTACATTTAATGGTGTGTGGCAATACTTCCATGTCTTTGTTTAGCGGACACTTTTAAAGTAGATATTCATTGATTTTAAAAACTAACTTTATTTTCATTATTGCAAAGTTGAAACTTTGATTCGACCAGGTTACCAAAATTCAATGCTTGGAAACATTCGAAGTAATGATTATTATAAATTACAAAACGCTTAAATACAGCCCATGCATAGCACCCGAAGAGCTCTCCGAACGCTGCTGAGATGTGTGAGATCACAGTATGGACATGCCTTGCACAAGCAGACGATGTCCCATGACATCTCACACATTTTCAGTGCCTGTGTTTTCATCTTCTCTTGAGTTCTTTCTCTTACTTCACTTCCGTCAGGCTAAATGGATCTATTGCCTCACTCTAAACCCCACGCATGGTTTTATTTTGATGACAAATGCAGCGATACAAAAATAAAGTAATCTGTCGCTTGTAAACAAATAAGACGCCATTGTATATTCAGCTGCACACACCGGGGTATGTTCGGCGTTTCAAGAGGGAACAAATGACGTCCTTAATATCATTCTGGGGGGTTTTCAATTTGAAAGTCTGGTATCTTTGATTGCTAATTAACCCCTATCATGTGTATCATACAAGCAGAATATTGTTGTTATCAGAACCGGGTCATATCCCATTTTGAATGGTTTGACATGCCATTACATTTATATACACTAAACTCATTATAATTTGAGAAATAATAGCTTTGCAATTATGTTCATTCTCTATGGGATGTCGTATGCTTCGGCAGTGTTGGTCCATATAGTGACGTCATTAAAACATCATTATTTTTCCGGCGAATCTCTCGTATATCCCAGCTGCTATGGAGGTGATTGTATTTGTATTTTTAAATCACCCGATATGTAGTTGATCTAAAACTTGTCCGATGGCCATCTGTTAGCTTACCAGTTTCCAGTGATACATTAGTTGACATATTTGTGATCTTCTTTGAATTTTACCTTTAACAGTTGTTACAAGATTCAAGTTTATTGTTCACTCTCTAGTCTCTATCATGGTGAAAATTTCATAATTCAATAAAAATAGAAAATAAAACAATCACAATTTGAAAATTTTGCATATTGCTGAGTTTGGTGATATGAAACAAGCTAGGGATGACTTCATCTCATTTGTATTTTTGATTACCAGAACTCCCCTTGACCTTTAAAGGGATAATTGAGTTTTTGGTATAGAGGGCGCAAAATTATTTTGTGAGATAGGCCTAATGAAAAACTGAGTGTCAAATTTGAAAAAGCATTTCTGTTTAATTTTTTTTTAAACAAAACAATCAAGGCACAGGTTTCTCCAATGAAGTCAATACTCTCACAAGATATGAAGTATATTAACAAGAACAATACCTTAGCAGATTTTCGATGTCAAACAGTAGTTGGTAATGGGGCTTTCACATATACACTCCGGGCCCGTACGGCGAGTAAAAACAGACATTTTATGCCTGGATTACATTTGGGCGGCGGTGAGAATATGAGATATATATATATATATATATAAGTTATACAAATGTGAAGAATCGTAATCCCGTAGCCCGTAGAAATGTCGTAGGTTGCATTGCACAATCACCGCACGGGCATCGGGCGGAGGCCTTGCGCTGATCGTGCATATATACTGGGGACTCGGACGCTCAAAAATGGCACGGCTGCTGCACTTTCATCGCACGTCCTCCGCGCAACCTCTGTACGGAAGCTGTACGGGCTCCGTACGATTTCCGTGCGGAGGCTGCGATGACGGCCCGGCTACTGCACTGAAATTGCACGATTGCCGTACAATCCCCGAGCAGACTCTGTACGGATTTGCCCCGGCCTGCCCCCGAGGGCCAATACAAGAAATGGCACGATGCTCGTAGATAATGTAAACAAAAAAATCGTGGCCCATAGCCTCCTACGATGCAACCCAAATCGCACGAAAAATCAAAAAACATTTTATCGTACGGCGCCCGGAGCAAATGTA